CATGGCCCCATGATCCGGCACACCCCTCACACGTTTCGTGGCCCCAAAAGGGAGGCTCCAATGTCAAGGGCCGCATGGCGCCACCGCGCCCATGTCGGCACACCCCTCACACGTTTCGTGCCCCCACAGGGAGCTCCACCAACGGCTGCTGGCACGGTTTGCATGGCGGCGGTGCTTCATTTCAGCGCAGCCCTCACGCGTGTCTTGGCTCCAGAGGGAGCTTCAAGGAAGGCTCCAGTGGCAAGGTCCGTACGGCGGCGGCGCGTCATTTCAGTGCACCTCTCACGCGTGTCGCGGTCCCAGGAGCTCCAGCTACGGCCTAAATGCCAGGGTCCTCATGGCGGCGGTGCCTCACGTCGGCACACACACACACACACCTCACACATGTCGTGGTCCCACAGGGAGCCCCAGCTAAGACCCAACTGCCAGGGTCCGCGTGGCGGCGGTGCCTCATTTGGGCACACCCCGCTCCAGCTAGGGCCCAAATGCACGGGTCCGCATGGCGGCTGTGCTTGACTTCGGCACAACCCTCGTACGCTTCGTGGCCCCATCGGGGGCTCCAGCTAAGGCCCAGGTGTCAGGGTCCGCATGGCGTCGGTGCTTGATGTCAGCACCCCCCTCACACGTTTCGTGGCCCCGCGGGCCAGCGGGAGCTCCACCAACGGCGCCAACGCCGCCGTCCGCAAGGCGGCACCTCCCCCTTTTGGGCACCCACCTCACACGGCTATTTTGGCCCCAAGAGGGACTTCCAGGTCCTTTGTCCCGCCTGTCTCGCCTGCATATGGTTGGGCCCATCGGCAGGGTCATGCGTTATTCAGCCAGCATCTTTTCAGCTCCCCCAAACACGACGAATATGCTTGTAAGCCCTCCGCAGACGAAGGAGCATGTGCACACATCCTCCACATAGCATGAGGAGCATGTTCGCAAACCCTCCCGGGCAGAGGACAGTGAGACTACAAGAGGATGCTGAGACTGATCAGGAGGAGGACCACGACAGCGAGGAAACAGTGACAGGGGGTGCGAATGATGAACACTACGAGGGGGCAAAGCGATCTAGCAGGGCCGACAGCGCGCCACCTCCATCCAGTCTGGAGCTCAAGCTTGGATTCTCTGGAGGTCCCTGGACTCCTCTGGAGGTGTTTGCAGGCCTCTGGAGGGCCCCGGAGACACTCACAGGCCAGAACATGGCCTCATCCACCTCCTCGAGGTCTCGGGGGGTCTCCCGAGGTCCCCGGAGGCACCCTGAGGCCCCCGTGGGCCAGCCCAAAGGCAGAAACTGATTCGAAAACCTCGATCGTCGACGGGGGGGAAACATCCCTGAACTTCCACTGCAAAAAGGTAGCCCTCCAAATCTGCAGACCTATCTGGAATGCCCAGAACCTCGACCGGAATTCAGAAGTGAAGGTCCTGGTGAATTTTTCTGGCCCTCCTGGAAGGTCTGGCAGGGTCTCAGCTGCCGCGATACGCAGCACGCAACACGCAGCGTGTCGACACGGAGCTCAACACGTAGACGGAACCCTTAGGTATGACGCGATACGTTCGCCAAGACCTGGGCCCATACGCCGAGTCAACACGCAGCGTACTAACACGGACGTTTTGAGCACGGTACGTGCTGCGTGTCAGAGCGGGCGTACCGAGGCAACGAAGGTCGGGGTGTTGGCCCCCCCGCGCTCCCGCCATGTCCCCGATGAGGGAACTATATACCCTGCGGCGCTTGCCCTCTCCCGTGCCGCGGCGGCGAGCGTCGCCAGGGATGCCGGGGGCCGGGCCGATGAACTCCTGCAGGGGGGGGGGGGAGGGGCGAGGAGGGAGGGAGGGAGAGAGGGAGGGAGGCAGGAGGGAGGAGGGAGGAGGGAGGAGGGAGGAGGGAGGAATGAAGGAGGGAGGAGGGAGGAAGACAGGGATGAGGGAGAGGAGGGCGAGGAGAGAGGGAGGAGGGAGGCAGGTGTGCACCAGGGTGCAGGAGGTGAGCTCGGATAAGAGAAACCCGTGGAGATCAGGCCAAGCCTGGGCAAGCTTCACGATTCACAGATGGGGAGGCTTTCCCACGCTCTTGTTGGGCGGCCCCCGAGGCAAACGGGACACGACCTCCTTGCCTGCTTTCGAGGGGGGTCCAAGGCGCAGAAGGGGAGGCGGGTGAGGATGGGGATGGGGATGAGGATGAGGAGGATGAGGAGGAGGAGGATGAAGTTGGAGAAGGAGGAGGAGGAGGAGGAGGTTGGAGCGTCTGGGGGGGCGACGTCTTCTCCGCATCAGCTGCCGCTGAAGCCGCCCGCGGCCGGTTTTGCCGAGGGGTAGTTCGACGGCTTGCGGGTCGGCCCGCGCCAAGATTTGGGCGGCCCCCTGAGAGAAAGGAGTCGGGTGGGCCTTGCTTTCCTGGTGGGCCAATCTGCACACATGAACATACAATGCAGTATACTTGAAGGTCGCAGGGGACGGGTGGACAAGACCAAGAGCCAGGAGAGGGTCCATGAAAGGGAGGCCAAGAGATCAGATCTCAGCTGCCGACGAACTAAGACATACACCAGGTAGCAGTGGCAATAGTAACGCTTTAAACTATACCTGGCCTCTGGAATCTGTGATCCATCCCCCTCCCCATGTCTTCATGTGGGCACTGCGCCAGGACGGGGGGACGCGATGCATCCCCCACACGACGGCCTACTAGTCGATTGCCTCCGCATCGGCCAGGGCGGCCCCAGACCAGTGGTGACGACAGGTGGCGAGGCGGCGCTGCACACGAGGAGGGGAGGGGTAGAGGTGCGAGAGGAGCGACTGTCGAGGACGGCGAGAAGGTCTGCTTCGAGAAGGGTGATCTCGACGATTGCTGGAGCGCCTCAGGTCGTGCTGGAGTGCCTGAGGTCGGGCTGGAGGGACCTCGAGTCCAGCGACACCAACCTTGTCCAACAAACCCTTCTGGCAGCCTCGAGACTGGTAAAGCACGGCCTGCGGGCGCGGCCGGTCCGCCATCGCCGTCGAATGCGGCAGGGAGAGCACCGGGGCCCTCCACGCCAGGGTGCGGGCGCCCTCGGCCGCCGTCTCCAGCGTCGCCGCCAACGCAGAGGCCCGCCACCAGTTCGGCCACGGTAGTCCCCTCAGGACCCAGACGAGCGAGGAGACGAGGAGGAAGACGAGGAGGAGGAGGAGGAGGAAGAGGAGGAGGAGGAAGACGAGGAGGAAGAGGCGGAGGAGGAGAGGAGGAGGAGGAGGAGGAGGAGGAGGAGGAGGAGGAGGAGAAGGAAGGAAGAGGAGGAGGATGGGGAGGAGGAGGAGGAGGACCAGTGTAAACCCAAGGCGCATGAGCGATATTGAAATAAACCAAGCCTCAAAATTCTCTGTCTCTTCGCAGGCCCATATCAGGGTTCATTTTGACTCGAGGAAATGCTCAATTGGAAAAGAAGCGCTTGAACGCCCTCAGCTGTACCAGAACACCATTCTTGGGACTTCAGCGCCGCGGATCACCCTTACTGTTGCGTCTTGGCGGTCCTGAATCGTGACAGATCACCGGTACGTAACTGTTGCGCCCTGACAATCGGGCATCGTACCATAACACCAGTTCTGGGACGTTAGCAACGCATCTCCTTGAAACGGTTGTGAATTCTTGAAACGGATGTGCGCCGCGCTGAAACGAAAACCACGTGTTAAACAATACCTGCCTTCCATCCGTGAAACTCTTGCAAGTGTTTTGTTAACGAATGTGCGCGGCGCTGAGGCGAGGGCAACGTTTTGAAAACCACGCGCCTTCGACCTACGACATTATTTGCACATGTTTGCAACGGATTGAAAACCACCCGCCATCCACCCGTGAAACTATTGCAATTTGTAACCAGGTTTGGTGTTCGTTTCATGGGAGCCTGCGTGGCCCATGGCGCTGTCCGATTTGGGCCTGACTTGGACCACATTTGGACCAGAATTGTACGATATTCGCACCTTCACAACAAGGGAGACGACAAGAACGAGGCGGAGGAGGAGGATGATGAGGAGGAGGAGGAGAAAAGGAAGTATGAAGAGGAGCAGGAGGAGGAACCAAGTGCGGCCCCAGTGCGGTCCAAATGCAGGAAAAGCTGATTTCAATGTCGCTGCCCCAGGCTCCCATGAACAGACATCGAAACAAGGATGTGCGCAACGCTAAAGCGAGAACCACAGTTTGATGACCACGCAGAGCTGGTGCAAGTTCTAAACTTCTGGATCACGAATAGGAAAGAAGACTTGCGCAAAACGCCGGTTCCGCCCTTTCGACAGGGAGGACTTATCTTCAAGGAAAGGAAATGGAGGAGGGGCAGGCGAGGGGGGGGGCAAGCCCCAGGACTGGTGAGGAAGGAGGGGCAGTAACGAGCGAGGAGGAGCAAGTGTGTGGGTGGGGGGAAGAGACTCTCGTTTTCGCGCCGCACACATTCGTTCCAATAGTTTCCAACAGTTTAACGGATCATCATGGGTAACGTACCAGAAATAAAGTTTTTGACCAGATGCGGACTGTCAGGGCGCAACAGTTACGTTGGTGTGTGGTGCTGAAGTCCCAAGAACGGTGATCTGACACGACTCAGGGTCGTCAAGGCGCACCAATTACTGTGACTCGCGGCGTTGAAGTCCCAGGAACGGTTTCCTGACGCAGTTCAAGATTTTCAGAAGGTTGTTTTCCAACGGGGCACTTCCTACAGGAAAAATGAATCCTAGTAGGGGCCTGTGAAGAGGGAACTTGGAGGGAGGATGTATTGCAATATCGTTGATGGGCTTGGGTTTGCACTCGTCCTCCTTCGCCTCATCCCTCCCTCCATCCCGCCTGCCCTCCCTCCCTCCCTCCCGCCTGCCCTCCCTCCCTCCCGCCCCTCCCCCCTCTCCCCTCCCTCCCCCTCCCCCCTCCCTCCATCCCTCGCCCCCTTCCCCCCCTCCATTTCTCACTTCCCCCCCCCCTTCCCCCCCCTCCATCGATACCCAAGCCCGAGAGACCTCCCACCGCAAAGGCGTCGTGCCACGACGCCCACCGCTGCGGCGGCCAACCCCTCTGGGCGCTCCTGCAACTGAGCGACGGCCTGCTGCAACCGGTCCATGTCCCGGCCTCGGCGGCGCAGCAGATATTCCCTCCTTCCGCTCCTCCTCCACTTCCTCCCTCCTCCGCCTCCTGCTCCCCGTTCCTCCTTCTCCTCTTCTGTCCTCCTCCTGCTCCTCCTCCTCCTCCACCGCCTCCTCCTCCTGCACCTCGTTCCTTCGCCTGCTCCTCCTCCTCCTCCTCCTCCTCCTCCTCCTCTTTCTCCTCCTCCTCCCTCCTCCCTCTCCTCCTTCTCCTCCTCTCCTCCTCCTCCCTCCTCCTCCTCCTCCTCCTCCCTCCTCCCTCCTCCTCCCTCCTCCTCCTCCTCCTCCTCCTCTCCTCCTCCTCCTCCCTCCTCCTCCTCCTCCCTCCTCTCCTCTCCTCTCCTCCTCCTCCTCCTCCTCCTCCTCCTCTCTCCTCCCTCCTCCTCTCCTCCTCCTCCTCCTCCTCCTCCTCCTCCTCTCCTCCTCCTCCTCCCCTCCTCCTCCTCCTCCTCCTCCTCCCTCCCTCCCTCCTCCTCCTCCTCCTCCTCCTCTCCCTCCTGCTCCCTCCCCCACGCGAGGGGACACAAGACCCTTCCGAGGGCCACGTCGCCACAGGAATATAGAAAGCGTGGGTCGCGAGACGCAGGACACAAGACTACCCTTGCGTTGGCAGTGTCGATCTACTAATCAAAACCGACTGTAGAACAAACCGTGAATCGGCCAGTCAGCATACGTACAGCCCCCCACTTCGAGGGGGGGGATTCCAATATCTCCCGTGCCAACGCTGGCGTGGCACACCGTTTGCTTTGCGCCTACGAACACGGCGTATCACAGCACTGCGCACCACGACGACGCACGATATAAGACGGCATGCCATCGGCACGACAGAGCACATCAACCCGTCGCAGATCTTGACGCACCATGGCTGAGGAACTGGCTCCCAGGCGGCAAGGCACTGGCTGGCTAGCGGCAACCGGGTGACAGTTTTCTGATTCGGCGTTTCGACACTGGGCGGAAGGCTGGGGGAGCGGCGGTGGTCTGGCTCTGGGCCTCTGCTTAGCGCGACTGTTTGCAGCAGTGCGTGCTGTGGGGGGGACCCCACCTGCTTGAAACAGCCAAGATCTACTTCAGGGGGGGGTGCGACCCTGTGACGTACCCGACCCATTTGTATCAATGGACGTACCCTGTGACGTACCCGACCCATTTGTATCAATGGAAACGAGGAGTTGGCCGAAACTTGTATGGACAATCGGCTTGATGTGTAAGCTACTTGGGAGGCGTCACTGTGCTGGGCCCCCCAGCAGGCTTCGAAAGTGGCGACGGTTTCACAATATTCAAAGCCCCCCAGGGATTGCGAGGTCTAATTTGAATCTGCGTGTGGGTACCCATTGCGCTGGGCCCCTCAGCAGCCCTCGAAAGTGGCGACAGATTCACAAATCGCAGCCCCCCAGGGATGGCGAGGTCAAATTTGAGTCTGCCGTGAGTACCCACTGTGCTGGGCCCCCGACCAGGCCTCGAACGTGGCGACGGTTTCACAGGTCGCAGCCCCCCAGGGATGGCGATGTCCAATTTGAGTCCGCGGTGAGTACCCACTGTGCTGTGCCCCTCAGCAGGCCTCGAAAGTGGCGACAGTTTCACACATCGCAGCCCCCCAGGGATGGCGAGGTCCCATTTGAGTCTGCCGTGAGTACCCACTGTGCTGGGCCCCATCAGCAGGCCTCGACATTGGCGACAGTTTCACAATATTCAAAGCCCCCCCAGGGATGGCGAGGTCTAATTTGATCTGCGGTGAGTACCCACTGTGCTGGGCCCCGCAGCAGCCCTCGAAAGTGGCGACAGTTTCACAGATCGCAGCCCCCCAGGGATGGCGAGGTCCCATTTGAGTCTGCCGTGAGTACCCACTGTGCTGGGCCCCTCAGCAGCCCTCGAAAGTGGCGACAGTTTCACACATCGCAGCCCCCCAGGGATGGCGAGGTCCCATTTGAGTTTGCCGTGAGTACCCACTGTGCTGGGCCCCCCAGCAGGCCTCGAAAGTGGCGATAATTTCACAGATCGCAGCCCCCCAGGGATGGCGAGGTCCCATTTGAGTCTGCCGTGAGTACCCACTGTGCTGGGCCCCCCAGCAGGCCTCGAAAGTGGCGACAGTTTCACAGATCGCAGCCCCCCAGGGACGGCGAGGTCCCATTTGAGTCTGCCGTGAGTGCCCTCTGTGCTGGGCCCCCCAGCAGGCCTCGAAAATGGCGACAGTTTCACAGATCGCAGCCCCCCAGCTGGCACGCAGCGACGAGCGAGGCGAAAGGCAAGGGGGAAGAGAGGGACGGGAGGGGGTGGGAAGGAGACGCGCGAGCAGTGCTCTATTCAAAACGAGAACCCAACGCAGGAGGGTTGGGAATGAATCCGCCGGCCCCCTTGCGGGGAACAAGGCTGTAGGGCAAAGGTTTGCTGCTCCCTGCGCCAGTTCCAGTGCCCAGTTACCACTGTTACAGTTCTGTTTTATGCTGCTTATTGTTCCTTGTTGTAGGGCGCGCGAGCGGGGAGCCGAAAAGCGATAAACCCTTGCAAATTACAGTATACTCGTGTCTTCAAAAATTTCTATACTTAGTGGAAAAGTTGTTTGCACAGCATACGCGAGCAAGCTCGAAATACAACACCGAACTCAACAATATCATCATAATCTCAATTTGTCTTGCCGGTTACTCATCGTCTTCGCATGAAGTCCCAACGCTGCTTCACGGTGGCGCCAAGGCTTTCTGATTTCGCTCTTGCATTTCCCATGATCCGAGGGAAGGTGCCGGCGGCAGGGGGCGAAGCCCTTACGGAAAAAGAAAACGATCACCCAACGGCCACCAGAGAGCGCTCCTCCTCAATCAACAAAGACCGCCTTGGGAGACATCGCAGGCCCAACGCTCCAAAGCAAGACGAACCAGCAAGGCAAAAGCTCAAAAGAGCTAAGCCAGCAAGGCAAACCAGCGCGAAAGAGCGCTCCTCCTCAACCAGCAAGGCAAAAGCTTACCGTGGGAGACATCGCAGGCCCGGCGCGTAGCGGCGTGCGGCTTTGCCTCGGCTCGGGCAGATCCGAGAGCGAAGGAACGCGAACTCATTGCCTCGGACCACTTTTGGCTTCCAATGGGCCCCGACGCAACGTAGACAGTCCAGAAGCTGCGCCACTGGTACACCCGACACGCTCAGCTCACATGCTCTTTAGTTGCTTGTCGCTTGCGGCCATTTTCAGTTCCAGATGGCTATCGTTGAATGAGCAAGACACCACGTAAATATTCCGCTCCAATGTCGCCCTGGTAAGATGCCGAAAGCTCCAAGAGGCCCCCCGCCAGTCAAAGACGCTCCGAGACCGTCCCAAGATGTCACCAAACTGTCTGTAAACGCCTTCGAGACGCATGGATACGAACCAACACAAATTCCTATGGTGAAGGCACGGCCAGAATTGTTCTTGCCGTTTACAGGCCTGTTTGTAGGAGGCCCGAGACGCATCCAGGACAACTCACGAACTGCTCTGGACGGCGCCTGAAAAGCGACATATACCGAACAGCATGGGTGTGCTTTCGAGTTGTTGCTTTTGGTCTCTTTGCTGCTTCGGGCCTGGTTGTCCTAAAACGCCATCAAGACGGCCTCGGGGCGTTCCTTCAGCCTTTATGGGCGGCCTTCCAGTACCTCCCCAATAAAAGACTGAGACGGACCTGCCAGGAACGCGGGGCACGATAGTGCCTCGAGATGGGCTTTCTTGTACATCAACATCCCACTAGCCCTCTGGGCGTAGGTGATCTAACGATGGTTCTCGTTTCTCGTCCAAGCCCCCTCTACCCTTCGGGGAGAGGTACACTCCCCTCCCCTCACTGACGTGCTTTTGGAATTTGCGCGAGGTGTCAGTGGATCCTCTTCCGCCCAAGGTGACTCCAAGAGGGCCTCCGATGCTCCAAGATGGCCTCCAAGAATGCTCAATATAGCTGGCGATGGCTCAAGATGACTTCCACCAGGTTCCGAGAGCCCCCCCCAAATCGCTCCAAAACTGCCCCAAGTGCTCTCGTAGCCCCTTCAGGACCTCCCCAAAGGCCAACATCTTACGGAAACGAAATGCTGTTCGCCGTCACGCCTGTTTGCTTCCGATTGGCTTCGGAGGCCTCAAGATGGCCCTAAGATGTCGCACGAGAGGCCCAAGAGGGGCCCAAGAGGCTACCGAGGCGGTGCCACGAGCGCCCAAGATCACCCCCAAGAGCGCTTCAAGAGCGCCCCAAGAAGCGGTTTCGAGGGCCCCAGACGGAGGGTAACGTTACGACCCCCCTCCTTTGATAGACGGCCTCCACGATGGCCCCAAGATGCCCTCAAGGGCTCCCAAGACGACCCCAAGACCCTCAACGGGCATCAAGCGCGCCCCAGAACCCCCAAAAGAGGGCCCCGAGACAGCCCCAAGAAGGCGCCCAAAAGGCCTCAAGAAGAGATGGCTGACAGAGTCCTTGTCCTCGTCCTCGTCGTCGGTCGTCGTCGTCGTCGTCCTCCTCCTCCTCCTCCTCCTCCTCCTCCTCCTCCTCCTCCTCCTCATCCTCTCCCTTGCCCCCCTCTTCTCCTCCTCCTAGTTCTCATTATCTTCATTATGTTTATCCTCTTCCTCATTGTCCTCCTCCTTTCGTCATCCTCCTCGTCCTTGTCGTCCTCTTCCTCTTCCTCGTCGGCGTCGTCCTCCTGCTCCTCCTCCTCCTCCTCCTGCTTGTTCCCGTGCTCGTCCTCCTGTTCCTTCTCGTCAACGTCCTCGCCCTCGCCCTCGTCATCTTCCTCGTCCTCCTCTTCCTTGTGTCCGTGCTCGTCCTCCTGTTCCTTCTCTTCCTCGTTCTCGTCCTCCTCCTGCTCCCCCGAATGCCACTCTGGGGCAGATGTTCCACTGCACGCTCCTACTTTACACTTCCCTGAAGAAACAAACTCGCCTGAGCATCGCTTCAGGATCTCTTCCGCCAGTTCCCTGTCAACTCTCAGCGACAGCGTTTCTGAGTGGGCTGGTAAAGATACGCGGAGCATGACGATCTGCTACTGTTCTGCGCTGCTGGTAACGACCAAGATTGCGAACAACGATCTCGTAAAATCATGCGTATGACATGGCCCTCGTCGGCTAGTTGTTGCTGGCGACGCGCATCTACGATAGACTTATGGGAACCTGAACATGTTTGGATACTTCGTTCGGTGCTCAACGCGTTGGTGGCATACCGCCGTCGCTTTCCGCTACTGCGTCATCTGGATGTGCTCAGGCTCAAGAGGCTGCAGGCGCTGAGGTCGAGGCTGAAGATCGCAACCTGCTCTTTGTTGAGGCTCATCTGTGCCGCGTAGTGCTCGGACTTCATCACCTCGATCGCCTCGCCAAGACTCAGAGGTGGAAACGCTCGCACGCCAAACAACGAGGGAAGGCTCGCGGAAGCCCAGAAGGTCAGCAGAAACAGCTTCCCCAGACCCTCGACGTCCAATCGATCGTCCTCGTCGTCGTCCTCGTTGTCCTTGTCGTCTTCGGCCGATGGGATGGAGGAGGAGGAGGAGAAGGAGGAGGAGGATGAGAAGGAGGAGGATGAGGAGGAGGAGGAGGGGGAGGCGGAGCAGTACGCGCCCGGACCGCGCTTCCTGCAGCCACTCCTCTGCGGTCGGGAGAACTTTCGCTTCGCGTGGCGTGGGGGAGGGGCCCGGCGACACGCTGTGCCCTGCAGGCGGACATGGCGTGTCGCTCCGCTCCCCGCGGGCCCCGCGGCAGGCTGGGAGCAGCGTGTCGCTCCGATCCCCGCGGAACCCGCGGCAGGCTGGGAGCAGCTCGGGGTGTGTCGGCGGCGACGAGGGGGGCGAATAGCCCAGGGGCGGGCATTACACGCATTCGCCCCGGAGCCTTGTCGAAGACATCGATCATCGGCGCACCTGCATGCATGTGCTTTTTTCCTACCTAGGCTCTGCCTAGAAGGGTTCTTACTCTCTTTGATTAAAGGGCCGGGCAGTGCTAACCGCCCCGGGCGGTTCCCCCAGTCCCCGCCCCACGGTTCCCCCAGTCCCCTGGGAGCTTTATCCTTAGCTTCAGCTTTAGCTTAGCTTTAGCTTTAACTTTAGCTTTAGCTTAGCTTTAGCTTAGCTTTAGCTTAGCTTTAGCTTAGCTTTAGCTTAGCTTTAGCTTAGCTTTAGCTTAGCTTTAGATTAGCTTCAGCTTAGTGTTAGCTTAGCTTTAGCTTAGCTTTAGCTGAGCTTTAACTTAGCTTCAGCTTAGCTTTAGCTTAGCTTTAACTTAGTGTTAGCTTCGCCTTAGCGTAGCTTTAGCTTAGATTTAACTTAGCTTTAGCTTAGCTTTAGCTTAGCTTCAGCTTAGTGTTAGCTTAGATTTAGCTTAGCTTTAGCTTAGCTTCAGCTTAGTGTTAGCTTAACTTTAGTTTAGCTTTATATTAGCTTTAGCTTAGCTTTAGCTTAAGTTTAGCTTAGCTTTAACTTAGCTTCAGCTTAGCTTTAGCTTAGCTTTAGCTTAGCTTTAGCTTAGCTTTAGCTTAGCTTTAGCTTAGCTTCAGCTTAGCTTCAGCTTAGCTTTAGCTTAGCTGTAGCTTAGCTTTAGCTTAGCTTTAACTTTAGCTTTAGCTTTAGCTTAGCTTCAGCTTAGCTTCAGCTTAGCGTTAGCTTAGTGTTAGCTTAGCCTTAGTTTAGCTTTAGCTTAGCTCTAGCTTAGCTTCAGTTTAGCTTCAGCTTAGCTTTAGCTTAGCTTTCGCTTAACTTTAGCTTAGCTTTAGCTTAGCTTTAGCTTAGCTTTACTGTTACTACTAATGCTGCTTTCCTAGGGGCTCCAACTCCTAGGTAGGGTCGCACTGGGATAATTTTTTATTTTCTTTCTCGAAACATTTAAGAGTCACACAATGTTCAAAACAACAAAATGAAAGAAGTAGTCCCCAGACTATTTTGGGGGCTATTTCTGAACCTCCCTCCTGTAGAGGGACAGGCCCGACTTCATCTCAGGGCTGGGTCTCCTGCGGGCGGCTCCTTGCGGTCGAGCTCCTCCTGCCGCCGGCGGCGCGGCACGCGGGGCAGAAAGCCTCCGGGCAGCACCGTGCCCGCCACGGCGAGCCGTGCTGTGGCAGCGCCCTCTTCCGCCCGCCTCCTGCGACCACGTCGCCCCGATCGGCGGCCCGAGGGTTTGGACGCCCGAAGTGGGTACAGGGCAGTTTTTGATACATCAGATTTTCAAACATATAGGTTTTTTTCATACATGATTATTTCATGAATAAGCTTACGCATGAACTCATCGTTGTTTTATACTAAATCCCTGCATTTTTGATACATGGTCCGCACGCGGAGCATGTATAAAAAACGGCACTGTACGGAAAAGATGGGTACATTGCCCAACAGCAAGTGTCGTCCCCAACCAACGGCGGCCGCTGTTGGGCAGGCGGCCTTCTGTCTCAAACGTGCACAGGCCGCGGCGACACCGACAGCGAGTCCTGTGCAAAATGAGCAAGATCTGCTGTTGGGCGTCGTAC